GAGCCCAGCACCACTTCCAGCTTTTTTTTCTTTTTGCTTATGTGGTGCTAAGGAATCGAACCCAGGGCCTCATGCATGCAAGGCAAGCGCTCTACCACTGAGCCAGTTTCCCAGCCCCTATAGAATTTTTTTTAATGACACAAAAGTGATTAGAAAGAGTAGATGAGCATATGCCTCAGTTTCCCATGGTATTCATTTGATCCAGCACCATTTTTAAGAGCTATAAAATGCACAAAACATTTTGAAAAGTTCTTTCATGTTGTTTCTAGGTGATAAAATAAAAATCTCCCCAGACAGACTATAAACACAATTTTTCAAAGACTGGCCATATGTAAAAGGAAGCACTGGGTATTTAATCCAGTGCCCCCCAAAATATGCCAGAATGCATACACACACACACACACAAAACCCACTTGGAGGGATTTATTAGTCCTTATGATGGTGGAGGGAGCTAATATACCCCTTCTACGGAGAGGAACTGAGACTCGGTGTGACTTATCTAAGCACTTCCAGCCTTGATCATCCAGGCTAGTTCTATATTGTGAGATGGGGTATCTGATGGGGATTTAGACAACACTTGGTATCATTTGAAGAGAATCAAATAGTTTGAAGGAGGAAATTTTTTCTGACCTGTGCTAGGAGACTGGGAAAAGGAACAGAGCATCTTTTCCCAGGCCCCCTAAGCAGAGCCAGACTCCATTAACTTAATGACTTGTGAAGGCAGTGAAATTGGAGTGATGAGCTGGGTGGCAGAATGAGAAAGCATTCTGTGGAGCTGCAGAGGCCCCTAATGAGGAGAGCGCTGCCTCACATGCAAAGCAGCCAGAGTGCACAGCGGCACTGTTTCTTGGAAAAACACCACCAAAGACACATTGTAGGTGGGAACGGCACAGAATGCAAGAACATATTGGCACTGTCTATTTAAAACAGCAAAAGTGGCAGGAAGACAAGAATGCAGAGATTCTAACCTTAAATTAAAAACATTCTCCTGGGAAACTATTTTGTTTCATGAGAAACAAGATGAACTGACTTCAGGTGGGTTCCATCTAGAGATTTTCCTATTCTTCTTTTCCTCTAATTAATGTACCCGGGAAGAAGAGCCCTCACCCAATGACACCAAGTTAAAATAATGTAAAGGTTTGGAACGAGCTGTATTTTTTTAAAAAAGTCTCCCTCTGGGTAAAACCTGTGAATGCATCTTTGACCCAGGAACTGAACTCTTGGTAATGAAAATAGTCTCTAGGTTCTCTGGGTTCTGTCAGGCTCTGCTACTTCCTTTGGGCAAGGAAATCCATTCTCTGTGCTTGTTTCCCTGTCTATAAGATGGGGATAGAGACATTATCTACCTATAAGGGTTTTGGGTAATGATTAAATGAGATAAAATCCATGTACCTAACATGCAAGAAAATTATCACCTTCAATCCCAATCGTAAGTACAGACAAAGCTCTGGGTTCCCAGTAATAGTTTACAAGACAAAATTGGAAAAAATTTAAAAATTCCAGTTGGTGTTGGTGGCTCAGGCCTGTAATTCTAGCAATTTGGGAGACTAAAACAGGAGGACAGTGGTTTGAGGTCAGCCCAGACAGAAAAGTCCTAGAGACTGCTAGAAGGTGCATGTCTGTCAGGTTAGCTGCAGTGGAAATCTCCCAAACAAGTAGATGGTAGTCCTGGCAAAAAATAATCAGCACAAAAAGGGGGGATAAAGTCCTATCTCAGTGGTAAAATGCATGCTTAGCAAGCTGGAGCCTCTAAATTCAAAGCTGTTACTGACAAACAAACAAACGAACACAAATAGCATTAAAAAATCCCTAAAAATAAAAAGTAATATGAAAATTCCATCTCTATTCCACTGAAAATTCCATCTCTATTGCCTAGCATTCATGAGACCCTGGCTTCAATCCCTAGTATCAAGGGGAAAAAAAAAGATTCTAATCATGAAGAATGTATTTTCTTTTTAGTCAATCGTGGAGCTTGAACTCTGGGCCTGGGCACTGTCCCTCAGTTCTTCAGCTCAAGGCTAGCGCTCTACCACTTGAGCCACAGTGCCACTTCCAGCTTTTTCTGTTTATGTGGTGCTGAAGAATTGAACCCAGGGCCTCATGCACGTGTGAGGCAAGCACTCTACCACTGAGCCACCTTTCCAGCACTGAAGAACGTATTTTCTTAAGTGCTTATGATACATGAGGGGGAAAAACAATACCATATACAAGGATACTAGGCATATTTACAAATACATAAAAAATCCTGTAAATACAGGAAAAGACTGACAGGAAAAATAAGAAAATGTATTAGAATGGGTGAACTAAGTACTTTTTAAATGTTCATATCTGTATTTTGCCAAGAATTTCACAGTTGCATGCTTTTCAAGGTAAAATATACAAGGCAATATTTGTAATTATTTGAAATAATCTTCAGGAAGGATCAACATCTGTGGAACTGAGTGCAACTTGTTTATTTTATGACTATGCTCAAGAAGTGAAGGACCAGAGGGAAATATGCAGAAAATATCCAAGTCCCTAAACTGTTGATAAATTTTATTAAAACATCAATAAACAAGCCCTTATTGAGGGCATACTGTCAAATATTTATACTTGTTTCTCACCTACTTTCCTGACATTGCTACAAATATTCAGAAGCAGCCAAAAGTTGGGGTCCACCCAGCTCCCTACTCTGATGAACACGAACTTGCTACAAAATACTACCTGTCCTCTTCCACCTCTCCACCACAACACTCCCAGCCACCCAATAACCTGCCTCTCCTATAAGAGGCCAGTGCTATGCTAAAAGCAGAGCCGAGAGAGACTAAACCCTTCCCATCTCGAAAGATTTTGTTTCGACCACCACAGGAGGAAGTAAACAGTATAGATGTTCATCAATAGGGGCCATGAAGGAATACTGATACTATGGAATGAAAGGGGGCTTCTAGCCGTGCATGATGCTTGAGTCAACAGCAAGAGATTCGGCATGGAACGAATGGCTGGAATGAATAAATGTTTGCTAGGTAAGACCAGGACTTGAGTATGAGTATTCTAGGTGGAAAAAAAAAGAGTAACAAAACAGTTAAAGGAAAGCAATATGATACCCCACAATGGATGGGGCGGCTATGAAATTTACCAAAGTAGGTCCACTTGGCAAGCATACAGCTAGCCCATTGGCAGTCAGCATGGGAAAAGGCCAAGCTAAGGCATTTGTCATGAGCCGGAGAGGGTAACAGTCAATGGGAGTTCTAAAGCAGGGGAAATGCACGCTCAGGTTTTGGACAATAACGCTGGTAGCAGTGGGAATTGGCTTCTTTGAGGGTGTAGGCTGTGTCAGGGAGATGAATGAAGAGGCAGCTGCACTGGCTTGAGAACTACTAACTAGGACTGTTTTGGGTATTGAGGTAGAAAAGAGGCAAGGAACCCATAAGGTGTAAATGTCAGCTCTGGCTGACTGGAAGAATCTGGAAGGCAGGCAGGCAATCAAGAATGGACGAATGGCCAGGTGCCAGAATGAATGGCCAGGGTCCTGTGGTTCACACCTGTTATCCTAGCTATCCAGGAGACTGAGACAGGATAGTGGTTCAAACCCAGTCCAGGCAGGAAAGTCCATGAGACTCTTATCTCCAATAAACTACAAAAAAAGCCAGATATGCAAGTCCTGAGTTCAAGCCCTGGGACTGCCACACACAAAAAAAGACTGGCTGTATGACTCTAGCCACACTACTAATATCAAACATTTCAGGAATGGAAGAACAAGAAAGAGAACACACTCAGTGTACACACAAGTGAAATATGGTAGGGAGCATTAAAGCAGTTGATTAGAGCCGTGGTCCTTAAAGAGTTTTAGGCTAGAGCCCCTGCCTGGAATCCTAGCTACTCAGGAGGCTGAGATATGTAGATTGAGGTTCAACGCTAGCCCAGGCAGAAAAGTCTGTGCAACTTATCACCAACTAATCACAGAAAGAAAAAAAAAAAAGCCAGAAGTGGAGCTATGGCTCAAGTGGTAGAACACTAGCCTCAAGCTGAAATAGCTCAGGGATGATGGCACCAAGACCCTGAGTTCAAGACCAGGACTGGCAAAAAAAAGTTTTAGGCTGGAGATACTGATCAGGAAGATGCAGCACTGTGGTAGTTGAGTGTTCCAGAAATGAATGTCACTGGAGAGCCAGAGCACACACTTTTGGGAGGAATGCATCAAGACAATCTACTGTCAAGTTGGACTGCAGAGAAGGCTGCCTGGCCTTCCTGAGATTCTCAACTATTTGAATAGTGCTCTCATTTTCATGTCCACGGCTGATAAACTTTAAAAGTTCAAGGTGTTTGATTTGCTTGCCTGACAGCCTGCCAATCTGTCTGCTTGCGTTCCTTCCCTCCCTCCCTCTCCTCTATTTCTCTCTTTTCTTTTCACTTTGCAAATGCAGTAGTACACACATATAGGAGGCTCTGGAATTGGGCATAGATTCCTTTTTCAGTCCTGGTTTTGGATGAAGCTGTTAAATTTCTCTGACCCTTGTGTCTTGCACTATAGAAGAGGGAGAAGGCTGAGGATGTGGCCCAGTGGCAAAGTACTTACCCAACATGTCCAATCTCCTGGAGGAGGGGAAAATCAGAAGGAGAATAAGTCAAACACTCACTTAGTAGTTAGGGTTACAGTATCTTAAATACCTGGTTGGTAACAAAAACCTGTAACTTGAGCCCTACGGTTTATTATATAAGGTAAAAAAGGCTCCTCTCTGTAAAAAGTCCCATCACCTACAAATTCAGAATCTTCACATGCCCTAACCAGCATACTTTAAACTGACTGTGTGTGTCGATTCATGTTTGAGCTGGCTTCAGCATTTCAAATTATTAAAAGGTAGACTAGAAAGTTCTACATGAGCGGGCAGATTTATTCCCCTTGCCATTCTGACTTAAAAAAGAAATGAAAGGCTTAGTATACAAATTACAAATGCAAGATGAGCTCAGACTCTCAATCTGCATTATTCTTTCCGGTCATCTGATGTAGACTCTGGAACAGATCCAAGTAACAGTTTTATTCTAGTCTACAGCACACCAGTTTTTAATATACATTTTAGTGGCTTTAACAGGGTTACTTTTGAGCAGACTTAAAATAAATCCACAAAAAGTTAATACATTATAAACAAAATACACACAGCAAAACCGGCATCCAGATGGTCAGAAGCATGCATACAGAGGTGGTCTGGTTGGTGTTATTACTGGTACCTTACCTATTGGACAGTTCAACAATATCAGTTCTTTTGCTCCTCATTCCCCCACAGTTCTCTAAAAATCAGCCTATACATGCACACAAAATGGACTTTCCTTTAAAGTTACATAAGCTTACTTTCAATCAGGCAGTTCTACTGAGCAAGCCCAATAGTATTAAACAGGCAACAGGGGCACCAGATCGAAAGGCAAGGTTATTTTAGTCCTTAAACCACCAACAGGAGATTAACCAAATGAAGCAATAATACGTCAATCTTAATATAAGACATTGAGGGAAAACTAACAGTGAAAACTAACACACACATGTATACATACATACGTACATACATATATATACATACATACATACATATGTATATATATATATATATATATCTCACTCCACTGAGCCATGATATAACCCATGGACTACAGACACGAGTTTCTACCTGTCAAACAATGTTGTCAATATTTTTTCTATGAAAGAAAAATAAAAGAGTATATTGGGAGATACAGAAGGCAGAAATGTGAATTAATGCATGTAAGTTTCACAATTTGAAATGAATATCAAATTGATACTATAAATCCTAAATGACAATGACTTAATCACATTGGGCATTAAGCTCTGGGCACCAAACCAGGTGATTCAACTATTCACTGTACTCCATAATACTCTTGAGGAGCTTTCCACTGATGGCCAAACAACACTAACGTCATACGGACAGGACACACACTCGGTGCTGAAGGAGAACCTGAAGGTCTAGAGAAGACTTGGATCTTTTGCAAAAGTTAAAGGTATCAAAATATTTCTCCATCCCTGATAACCAAACTAGGTCAACTATACGGCCCAAAGCAGCACTGAACTTGGAGTCAGAGGTTGGCAGAAAAGTTTGGAAAACTTCAGTTTTTAAAAGTTGGCAATTTCTCCACACTTAATAAAGCTATCAGAAGAGGTATCCGGTTTTGTTCATTTGTGGAATGTTGAGCTGCTTGTTGCAAGAAGTCACAAGATGGATAAGGAAACCGCGGAGATGCGCGCTCCAATGACAAATTGCTCTTAAAAATTTACAAACACCTAAAGTTTCTATTTAAAAAATAACCATGTTATGCCAAGATGAAACATGGTAACAAGTAGTGTAGGTTCTGACCATGATTCTTTTCACACAATGAGCGAGAAAGTGATAGAAATAATCTTCGTTAAAATTTCTCTTAAAAAGGAAGTTTTGTTATTGCACTGACGTTTACAACCTGACCTAGTCATTTAGAAAAAATCTTCTAGTAAAATCTGGAAAATTAAAATACAAAATCCTGATTTGTAAACATCAGTTGGCCAAGTCTACCCAGAATCCTTCATGATAGTGGAATGGAATGAATAATTAATTCATTACCTTATTTGTTGGCTGTGAGGGAGAAAGTTCCAGAACACAGCTTTATATACTTTCACAGTAATTATATTAAAAAAAATATATAAATGAAGTCAGTGCAGTTTCTTCTTTCTCTTTCTCCCTCAGTGCAACCTTCCCTCTCTTACCCCACCTCCTAAGTGCCACAACCAAGATAATACTGCTTTGAAGACCCAGCAGGCTGGTCATAAATGCCGCATGAAGTCCGTGGGACTTCGGTAAAGGTATTTCCAAATGGCGTAATAGTGCACTGCAGCTGCTGTGGCCACAAACAGGTGCCAGATGGCATGGGCAAATGGAATAACGCCATCACTCTTGAAGAATACAACTCCTAGGCAATAAATGAGGCCTCCACATGCCAGCTCATGAAGGCCATCTGTGTTGTTCTGTCAAGAGAAGAACAAAATAAAAATAAAAATAAGGGTTTGTTACTGTCACATGTTGAGTTCCACAGACAGCTAGAACTCCTCTCGCCACACCCCCCTCCCCCGATATTTTCTAGACCGTCAGAAGCTCTGCATGAACAGAACCTGAATCTACAGACGTCAAACACACAGAAACACTTTAACGTGGGATACTGTTTTGGATTGTCAGTCTTCATTCTGTCCGACCATCCGATTACAGGCTCTCCACAAATCCCAGCACACTTCTGCCCATTTGCTGCATGTGAAAGCAAAATGCAACCAGCCAGACATGGGAAGTTCAATAGAATGGATGTCTCATCTTCCCCTTTAAAAGCACTCTTGTCTGTGCAGACAGACTGAACCTCCTCCATTTATAGTTCATCCCTACCCCAGCTAGTGCTTTCAGTTCCCTTTCACCTCCTCAAACACTGTCTGCTTGGGGGAAGGGGGGGCAGTAGCAGGGGGGTGGGGAGGAACTTGGTCTGCCTGTGGGTGTGGCCTCACTATGGCTGACACAGGAATCTGGACTGGAAGTGTGGAAATGACTTCTGAACACACTCATCACCCAGTGTAAGTTCTCTCCTCACCTTTTAGATGTTCCCAAGCCTTTTATGTTTTTGAGCCTCAAGTGGGAAGCTAACAGTCCTGTGTGTTTTGGGACAAAGGAAAGAACTTTTTAAACCATTCACGGTTTGTAAAGATCTAGGACTATCGTGTGAACCAGAGGGTAGGGGAGAGAGGCAGTGCTTGGAAGCTAATGGAGGAGTAAGTCGGTCCCTCGGATATCTGAGGACTAGGAATAGAAAGGTTCTGATTTTGCAGAGTGAGGGAAATCTCAGGTAGATCACAAGAAGGCTGAGGAAAAGGACACACGGTGATGGATACAGCCCTGTGAGCCCCGGAGCCAGCTGATCCCTGGGGCCAATCTGGCAAAAGCAGAAGGAAGCGCCAGTTCAGCCACCTGCTTAGAATGCACCCAGGGGCCTGCGCTGAAAGCAACGAGCATTAGCTGAGGACCCAGTGTGAGGATCAGTCCTTGTTTCACAAGGTGTGTATCAGACTTCATGGCCTCTGTGGGATTTGAAATGGTGATCCAAACTGATGATCCAAACTGATTTGGTGTGAAAGGACTTCAGCCACATTTTTTCTTGATTCTCCATGGGGTACAGGACCCCTGACATGGTTAAAAGTTGTGCATCTAATGTTCTTTAGTTTTGGAGGGAGAGGGAAAAGGCCGGAGAAGTAAAGTGACCTCAGGGAGGTCACAGAGCTGGTCAACACCCAGCTCCCTTCCTCAGATGCCTCTGTGGGGCTTTGGCTTGGTTCTGACCAACACTACTTCTCCCTTTATGTTCAGATAAGCAGGAGACCAAACCAAGTACACTAAGTTGGTAAGAGACAGTTCAAAACACCACGTTTACCCGGCCCTCTTTCAAAGACCAGAACATTGGCCATTCTAAAAACAAAGCGCTTTCTTTACTGCTGCTCCACATCAGGCACTAGCCAGTATTTACTCACTTTAATCTCCAAAATGACCTGAAGTCACTACTGCTTATTATCTTCATTTTCCAAATGAGAAAACTAACATTCTGCAGGATTAAGTAACTGGCTCAAGGCCAGGAAACTTCCAGGTGTCAGAATGAGGATTTGAACTAAGGTAGTCAAGAACTTTAATTGGGGAAGTGGACAGGAATTATTATTATTTTTTAAAGTCCTGGGGCTTCAATTCAGGGCCTAGGCACTTTCTTTGAACTCTTTTGTTCAAGGCTAGAGCTCTATTGCTTTGAGCCACAGTGACACTTCTGGTTTTCTGATGGGCTGGCTTTAAACTGTGATCCTCAGATCTCAGCCTCCTGAGTAGCTATGAGTCAATAGTGCCCGGCTGGGAAATACTGTTGTTGGTTTTTTTTTTGCTTTGTTTTGTTTTTTAATGATGATTAATTTATGGTGTGATGCACAGATCGCAAGATAACAGTATGACTGGATAAATGTACACATCCATGTAAACCTAAATTCTTTTGTAGCCATTTACAACACTGTGCATCTGCAGCCACCAAGGCAAGTGCAGACCCCAACCATAGGGACTAAGTCTACCCATTCTAGAATTTCACGTAAGTCCAACTCTACTGTATGGGCCTTTCTGCATCTGCCATCTTTTCTGCTCAACACATATGTGTTTTGAAGTTCACAGAAGTCCTGGTGTATAGTCTTTAAAATTCCTTCTTAATGTGGTTAATAGTCATTGATTTCTCTTACCTTATTTGTGTGTGTGTGTTTTATTTTTATTTTTTTACTTTTTGCTGCTTGGGGGTTACTATGGGTACAATCAATATTTACATAATTTTAGAAGTCTTTTGTCAATGTGTGTTTTCATTTTGGTTGGGTAGCACCTGCTGAGTCACTTAAATATATGTCTAATTCTAAAGGAAACTAACAATACAGTTTTTGACACTTCTTCCAACAATAAATTGGGGGTAAGTGGGTTTCAGTTACTTAACTTTGCTAGGTTGAGTGTTTTCTAGCTTTTAATGTCAACCTTTCTACAAAGTATACAGTGGGAGCTCATTGAGACTTTTGTGTTCATTTTCCTGATGATAATGACATTGAACACTTTTTCCAGAGCTTCCTAGATACTTCTAGGTATCTTTGTGAAGTGTCTGTTCAAATCTTTTACCTAAATATAAAATTTGTCTTCTACTAAGTCTCCAGAGTCCTGGCTCATTATTTCCCTCACCATACTTTCGTGGTTTAATGCCTTGCCCTGGTATAGTTTATCCTGCTTTGCTTACACTGTGCTGTGTTGATCTGTAGGTAATATTTTTCAAAAAAGTTTTAGAAGTGTCAACTATTATTTCTATTAGACTTCATTAGGTCATGTGATATTGTCTTGTGGGTTACTAAAGCTCTATCCATTGGGTGGTCACTCTTTCTTTCCTTGGGCTTCAATCTGTAGTTTCTGAGGACTTGACCTCAATTTGACTTTTTTTTTTCCTTCTACAATAAGCAATCTGTTTAATTGAGCTCTTTTGCTCAAAACTATCACTTTGAGCCACAGCACTGCTTCTGGTTTGCTGAGGGTTAACTGGAGATAAGAGTCTAATGGACTTTCCTGTTGTAAACTATCCCATAATGTTTATTTAAGATGGCACTATATGGCAGATCAATGTCACTGCCAACATTAAGAGGCTGCTATGATTCTCTCAATCTAGGTGTTATGGTTAGAATCTAAAAATGTCTCCCAAAGCTCATGGGTCACAGACTTGGTTGCCAGCTGCTGGGCTTTTAAGAGGTGATTAGATAATGAGGCCTTCCATTTCAAGGACGAATTCATGATTTCATAGCTGGACTAATTAAGAAGAGATAGGGCCTGGTTGAAGGAAGTAGGTCACCGGAGGCATGATCGTGAAAAGTGTATTTCCTCTAGCTCCCTCCTTGGGGGTCTCTCTGCATCTTGCCCGTGTAGGGGCCACCTCTGTTCTGCTACACACTCCTCACCACTCCACTCTGCTTCACCACAGGCCCGGAAGCAACAGAGCCCATGGACTGAAATCTCTGACATCCTGAGCCAACATGAATCCTTCCTTCCATAAGTTGTTTTTCCAGGCACTTTGTCACAGAGATGAAAAATGACTAACACTAGGCTAAGACTCTGTTTTTAAGAAGTGGCTTCGTCAGGGCCAACTGTGTACTTGCAGTGTGATGGTCTCTTCGGCTGGAATGGCTGAAAACCGCCATGTGTCCAGCACTAGGTGCTTTCTGGAATCTTCGTTTCTCTCGTGGTCTGGAAATGGTTACTCTTGGCTAAGACCCGCAGAGTTCTGCCCTGCTCAGATTCAGCCCGATGTGTGGGTCAAATCTCTCCTTTGCAGATTTCTAGAGCTGCTGCTTCTCTCTGCATCTCCCTCCTCTCCAGCTGCTCCCCAAACTGCTACAGCTGTCTCAGCAGTATGAAATGGCAATTTCTGTTTCCTCTATGCAGACTGCTGCTCTCTGGGCTCTATTTCCTTTTATTGCTACTTGGAATATGTCCAGGGAAACAAATGGGGAGAATTCAAAGCTCCTTTTTGTTGTTGTTTGCTTTCTCTTTCCTCCACCTCAAGGATTATTCCTGTACTGCCCACGTTCAATGTTAAAAACACAGTTGTTTTCATTCTCATTTCCCAGTTCTCCACATCAGAAGCCTGACTCCCCCAAAGGACAAGAACCAAGGCCTGGAGTCTTCAATGCAAATGATTATCTTGTTAGTCTAGATGACTTGCATAGTCCTTTTTGAGCTGGACTCTGTCTAGCTGTCCAGCTTCATTACAAGACCTGCACAACTTGCACACCTGTTCTAACACATATATGCATATGATCCAACAGGTGCATAAACTCCATCCATGCAAACAGTGAGCTATTTTAACTCCCCAGAGGTGCTGAGCCTTCTCCCAGTCCAGATTCCTTCATTCTCTACTCTTCCCCAATAACACAGCTCCAACTCCAACCATCTTGTGGCTCCAACTTGCCTTTCCTAATCAGCTTATCTATTGCTCCTGGTCCTTCTGTAGTGTGGTTTCCAATAGCAGCCTGAACGTTTTCTACTCACAGACATTATAAAATGTTATTATAGCCTTTTCTTGGATCTGAGCTGTATGTGCCTGTTGTAGTCTAGGTTATCTGATGGCAGTGTGGGATTACCCTGCTTCATCATCATAAACATTAGTCACCTGCTATTGTCTCGCTTATGAAAACGGCAATTAAAGATTTGGGCTAGTAAGAATACTGGATAAACCTGATCTTATGATACCAGAGGGAATTTAGTTGAAATTCTGCTCTAATCATCAGTAACCTATTTACAGAGACTGCTCAGATGGCTCTGGGTGGGTGTCCTGAAGTGCCCTGTAACTACATGGCTGTCATGGCAAATTTTCTCACTTCAGCTATTTGTCTCTTCTCTCCTCACCCTTCTCTGTTGCCTTTACCAACTTCTGATGCTAGTTAATTTTAAAAATCATCAAGAAAACCTTATATTTCAGAGAAATGGGTATTTTGTTAAATTTTCATAAGACATATTCTCTAAAAAAAAGTCAGAATCAGCTTTAATTCCAGCAGGTGTTTTGGAACCAGGCTACCAGTATAACTAGTGCCTTATGTCCCCATGGTGTGCCCCATGGAGTTTTAGAGTAAAATCCCAAGTATAGTACTTCTGACCACTACAGGCTGAGAAGGGAATTCAACTAATTCAAACAAAACACACTGGCTTTCTTTCAGGAAAACAGTGACTAATGCCAAAAAAGTCAGATTATAAGACACTGGAGCACAGGAGCTAAAGGTACAATTGGATTGAGCCATACAACTGCAAATGATGTATTTTTGTTTCAAAGTGACGGATACATAGATTTCTAAACAGTCATTTAATGTGAAATGGGAGTTCAAAATATTTCCACACAACTGCCTACTAACAATGATTTAACACTTCTATCAATTGAAGTTCCCAAAAGATATTTTCAAGCAAAGTTGTTTTATTTTTGTTTTTTTAAAGCACTCTCCTTGGAAAGAGAAATATAACTTAAGTGAAAGAAAATACATAACAGTGAACAGATTAGGGAACTCTCCAAATATTTATCTGTAGAAGCAAATGATCTTTTTTTATTTTTCCTCTTGGATTGTGGGACAGGTTCCCCCCTATGTGGCCCAGGTTGACCTCTCATAATCTTCTCACAAACAGACTTTTACGATCTTCTGATTCTTAAGATACCACAGGCCATAGGAACTTATATTTTCTTCACTACAAACAACTTAACACAGTACTTAGTCCAAGTTGCTGGCACATCTCATTATATATATATTTTTTTCTTTTAGTTTTTTTCTAGTCAATATATTTGTTGTAACTTCAAAAAGAAAACCAACATATTACATCTATGAGCACACACAAGCCCTAGTGACTTAGAAGGAAATATGGGGAGACTGGTAGAAGAGTAACATTGATCGAGATGCACTGTACACATACAACTGAAACCTGTTTGTACAACTACTACTGAAAGATAATTTTAAAAATTAAAACTGAAGGAGGTAAATAAATGAGGAGGCTGTTTCTTACCATTGATGTAACCACCAAGGCTGGAGAAAACCCCATGGTGAGATAGAAAAAGAGCTCAACTACTTTATACCTGCACAAACAGAAATACAGTTATTTAACACATGTCATTTGCATATCACCTTTTACTTGTTTACTCTGAAAAAAATAAACTGCTCAATGTTTAAATGAAATGCATTTCCCAGTGGGAGCACAGTAGGCCTCTACGTAATAGGTGATAGATGGTAAAGAACTAGTCTTTCTTTCAAAACTCCACATGCTACAGAAAATGTTTTCTGCCAAAAGTGGCTGTAACTGAACCCGATCCAAAGTGTGTCTTTCCCTTTCTGGTGTGACAGTGCCTTTGCCACCATTTCAACCCAGATCTATGGGAATAGTAAAGGAGGAAGATGGAAAGATGGACTGGGCCTTGTTTATCAAGAGCAGAGGACCAGCAAGCCCTCTGGGAAAGGCATTTGAACAAACTCATGTTCGCTTTAGGCTAGAGGACATCTGTGTTAAAATTTAACATATCTGAACATAATATAATAAAAATTTACTTTTCTTAATAAAAGACAAAAATTGTCCAATTGGGACTTTTAAAATGTTTACAAGCTGGGCACTGGTGGCTCATGCCTGTAATCCGAGCTACTCAGGAGGTTAAGATCTGAGAAAATCACAGTTCAACGCCAGCCCGGGCAGGGCAGGAAAGTCCATGAGACTCTTATCTCCAATAAACTCCTCAGAAAAAGCCAGAAGTGGCACTGTGGCTCAAGTGGTAGAGCACTAGCTTTGAGCAAAAGAAACTCAGGGACAGAACCCAGGCCCAAAGTCCAAGCCAAACAAAAATAAAAATAAAAATAAAAATTCAACATATGTTTCTGCCTACTTAAACTAGTCTATAAATTCCACCAAGACCAGGACCAGGTTTTATTATATTTGGATCTATACAGATAAAGTGGTACAACTTAATGCTTGCCAAATGGAATGGCCAATATGATTCACACTTCATTTTAGTATTCTATACCCAGAAATTAGCATGAAGTAGCCATCAGGGAAAGAATGGACTCAAGGATGTGATTATAGCACAAGACCTGAACGGGAAGAAACAATAGCTTCCTTACTTTACTTCTATTTTACCCAAGGATATATAATTTAGGGGTGTAAGCCCAAGAAAGCAAACCATTCCCTGCATTTAATGTATACCACATAACACTCCTTGGTATTGTAAATTATAGCTCAAAGTATTTAACTGAAATTCAAAGTCAGAAAGAAATAAGTGAAAACTACAATTATCTTCTGACAGGAGAAAACAATTTAATTCTCTGACAAAAATACAAATTATGTCAATTCTCAGAGCCATTCTGTCAAGTGAAATGGACAAAGAATTTAAAGAGCTATAAATTAATAAAGCCAATTATTTTTTTATGATTGTGAGTGTCTCAAATTCATAATGAAAGGAGCTACAGAGCAGGAATTAGAACTGGAAGATGTGAACTCTAATTTCCAGATGATTCATATATTTGATTCATGTCCTAAATATTCTCAATTTTTAAGCATAAAGCTGAAGTGGAAGACCTTGAGGGTCTTATTTAGATCCAAGATGATAAGTTTCAGGAGGCCTAAGCTGGACACTGGTGGCTCACACTTGTAATTCTAGCTACTCGGCAGGCTGAGATCTAAGGATCATAGTTTGAAGCCAGCCTGGGCAGAATGCAAGGGCATAGCATTCTTTAATTCATACTTACACATTGTCCTTTAGGACCATTTTCCTAAAGGACTATTATTAAAGAACATACAAAGACATATAAGGACACATCTGTCATTTCTAAATGTATGCCCTAGAATTAGGAGTTACAAGAGTAGATGGCAAATCTGTGAACACACAGACTCTAAGTCAGCTCTGTGCACACAGGCCATCCAGGTACATTCTGCTGAAGAGATACATACACCTGAGTATCACCCTGTGAGACTCTTATCTCCAGTTAACCACTCAAAAACTGGAAGTGGCACTATGGCTTAAAGTGGTAGAGCACTAGCCTTGAGCCTCGAAAGAGCTCCAGGACAGTGCCCAAGCCTTGAGTTCAATTTCAGAAGGCTTTTCTTTTATACTATCTAACACTTATGTCTATGAACTATGAATAAGGGGTTAAATTTCTGTGCCCAAGGGCTAGGATACTGAGAGTTTGATGTGCTTCAAAATGGTCTTTTTCTCAGAGAAGCTTATTGGAATACTCTAGACTTCCACCTTGGGCCACTGGTGTTGGTTACTGTCAAATCTTCACAGAAACCCTTAAAAAGAATTACTTTTATTATGATTGTGAATTACAGAGGATAAAATTAGTGCAAGTTAGGAGATGGCTCCAAAATGATTGACCACTTCTATTCTCAACCACATTATACCATGTATATGCCATTCCTATCTGTCTCCCCATGGCAATCTATCCATCAAATACAAGTACCAAAGATTTACTGAAAGCATGATAAATTCCGTTTATGTATTTCTACTATTTTGAAGCATAAACATAGAAAAAATTACTCTGCAATGCAGGTAAAATTTAGAAAGTTAACTTTAAAATGATCCATTGTAAATGATTTGCTCTTACTTTTCATGGTAGAGAAATACATAAATGGTTCCTCCAGCTGCCATGAGCCAGATGAACCAGCGCATATGAGACGCCACAGGTCCGAGTTCACGGAGATTTAACCTACAGAGGTAAACATGAAAACAAAGAACAGAAAGGGTAAGTGAAGGGAATTCCCAAAGCCATGTTGTCTTCTCATCATTGAAAACAAAATATACGGGGAGAAAGAAGGGCAGGAAGAAAATACTATTGCGTGAAGTAAGCCAGACCCAAAGAAACATAGGCTCCATGGTTTCCCTCATTTGTAATAACTAGTATATTTCTAGCATAGTCCTAGCAGAGGATCACAACAGCTCAATAGCTAAGTACATATAAAATGATGCTAGTTGAAATGAACTCCAAGATATGGAAACAAGGGATTTGTTGTTATTGTTGTTGTTTTTAATGTACTGTGTGAAGTTACTTCTTTTTTCTTTCACTTTTTTCCCCCTTTGATTTATCCTGTTGTCACTCTTTGATTTTGGTATCCCATGTCTTGTGTATATGTTTATCTGAATTGGAGAAGGAAGGGGGAATAACAAAATGGTAAGACAAAGGACAAAAGGTAGAACCAATGCAATAGCAATATCCATAAAACATTACGTTGGAAATGAACTTTACAGCTGGGGTGGGGAAGGAGTCAGAGGAAGGGAAAGTGGGAGAAAAACGAGGGAGGGGGTAATGCTGTTCCACACATGTAACTGTAATCCCACTGTACAGCACATTTAAATTACATTTAAAAAGAAAACGAAAAAGCACTCAACACAACGAAGAAGTGAAGGAAATATTTGAGCAATTGGGGTAAAATGAATAAGTCAAGGATAACATTGTCAGCCTTTACAATACGGGTTGAAAATAGCACTGGCTAAAACACAGACATGCAAAATTGGGTTGCAGAACACCTGTAGTGTCTGACCTTCTCAAGCAGGGGCACACTGAGTAAAGGTTGCTTGTTCTTTTTTTTATTTCTGAACATGTATTTGAAAGTAGATTGCTTACAAAGCTTAATAAGAACCCTCAACGAAATCCTGAACCAGATCACATAACCACAGCAGATACCTAATACTCACACCCCACGTCTCCATTATCAGCCTCTTTGCCAAGGAAGAATATGAGAAGAACTACTGCAGCAGGTGTTATGGAAGACTTTTTGTAAGAATTTAACCAGAGGTCCGGATTTCCAAATGCTACAAATTCATGTGTACTCATTTCATATTAAATATTTTTTTAAAAAACAAATACTCTGGCTCTGATTACAAATGAAAAAGATACCTCTTGAATACTTAAAACCACACCTGAACAAATTGTGTACTTCAGTATCTGATTCCTTAGCTCATGTCCTAATTTTTTTTAACTTTATTTACTTAAATTGAAGTATATTTATTTCACAAAAGCTTATGTATTCTTGCTCCAATGAATCAGACCTATAATTTAGTAAGAGGAGTTTGGGAGAGCTAGCACCTGCTTTTTATTCTAACAGGTAATTATATTTCTTTGAATGACTAAGACTGCCTTAACCAGAATCCAGAGGCCTGCTATTTTTAATGATGACAGCACTTGATAGCATATGAACTTCTGTTTAAAACTGGACCTTATCTTCCTTGACTGAGGAAAACTGTTTATTTAATAATGAGATTTAACACACAAAAGATTGTATTTGATCTGCACCAAAATGGTAATTAGACAAAGGAACCTGAAACACTCTAAGTATTTTAAGTAGTTATTTGGTTTAGTTTACTTAGTCAAAGAGCAAGAGAAATAAGAAATGAGCAAGTATCTAGTAGCCACTGTGTTGTGAAACCAATTGAAGACACACAATATAAAATTTTAATGATTTAAATATACTCAAATTCATATTTCCCCTTGAAGAATTCAGTCTCCAAGTATTCTGAGAAGCAGCAGAGTGTATGGAAGGATACGGATGGCCAAGGTTATATATTTCAAGAGAGAACCTGCTACCTACATACAAGCTTACCGCACTGCTCCTTAGGACCATCCAATGCCCGGATTACTCTTTCTGAACAGCAGCAATATTCTCCCCTTCACATCTCACTCAAGTAAATCAAATTGAGAAAAAAAGAGTATGGGTGTATTGAGAGGAAAGGTGGGTTGTATTTATGAGGGGTGGAGGCAGGGACAGGAGGAAGAAAGGAAAGGTGTAAATAATGGAGCTATAAAAACACAGAGATTATATCTTACCACGGAGCATAAGAAGCAGCAATGAAGAAATAGATAACCATCCTGTCACACATGTGAAAACAGTGCTCCACCGTCCTGTGGGAAGAGAAAGGGAGCGTAAACAAGTTACACTCAGATCTTGACCAATTTTCAGACTGGAAGAATGGGTTACTGCCTTGCAATTTCCATTCTTATTCTAATTCTTCATGGTATTCACCACTTGCCCTTCGAAGCCACAGCTTTTGTCTTGGATGCCATGAAGCTGACTTTCTATTATTATTATTGTTTGTTTGTTTTTGGTTGCAAGAGATATATAGAAACAGGACTGGAGTCCCCATGAGTAGCTGAGAAATCTGAAGTAGTTAAAATGAACACTGGGCTGGGAAGGTGGCTCAGTCATAAGAGTGCTTGCCTTGCATGAATGAGGCCCTGGGTTCGATTCCTCAGCACCACATAAGCAGAAAAAGCCAGAAGTGGCACTGTGGCTCAAGTGGTAGCCTTGAGCTGAAGAGCTATGGGACAGTGCCCAGGCCCAAAGTTCAGGCCCCACAACTGACCAAAAAAAAAAAGTATCTTTTCTGGTATGTTCCATCCCCTCGAGATCTTATCTAACAGGAAGATGAAATTCCTTGAGAAAAGATGACTGTCTATCACAGTACAAGGCACAAAGTCCTAGTGGTCCAGTAAACCAACTCCCTGAACTGAGGTCATGTTCTTTTTAGAAGATCTTTATTCAAAGAAGCATTTGCTTTAACCTGTGTAGACAGTCAAGTTGTAATAAAGAACACTCAGTAATTTAGAAACAACAACAAAAGTGTAGTGCCTGAAGTGGGTGGCTGCTTGAATTTCTAAAGAAGTCACTCCCTCAAAAAAAAAAAAAAGGGCAGGACGTGCATCTAGCTCACTGAGATCTATAGACAGATAATCCACCCTTACTGAGATAACTGAAAAGTATCAACGCAATGTATTATCATGAATCTATTTTCAGTTCCCCAGGGGAAACTGATTTGGTAGAGCACCGCTGTTCGGCTCTCTCTCTCACCACATATAGAACCATGGTCAAAGCACACTGATGAGGATGCATTAGTGAAGAAATAAAACGTACATACTGTGAGAAAGCATCACTTTCAGTCTACTAATCAGGAGTCACTCCTTACCCTGAGGTAATAATTTAGGTCACAGATGTCAAGACACAAACACTAGGTCAGTGCTTCTCAAACCGGACACTGTATTAGAATCACCTGGGGAGTATACAAATGTAGCTTGTAGACTCCGGGCTAGAAGATGCTACTCTGAAAGCGCTAGGAGATGGCATTGGGGGGGAGGCGGGCGGGTAAAGGGAAGAAGGGGAATCTTTGCTTCTTCTTTTAAACTCCTGGGAAGACTGTGATTTCTTTGACAGGGTTAAGACCTTTCTCATGGTGCTTTCTGCATTGCTGCACATGGCTAGAGCAGGTAGTCACACCTAGGTCTTATTCAAGATCTGTCGCGCACCTCTGACTCTCAGTATTCTTGCAAGTAAAATGGAAATAATCCTAGAGTAGGTAAAGCACTACATGTGATGATGTAGCACAAGTATCTAGCACACACTACCATGTCTCTCTAGCATATATAGGCACCTAACATGTTCTCAATATAATTGCTAATTCCTTTCTCCCATTTAAACTAAGGTTTTATTTAGCACTTTTAAGAAAAAGGGAATGCAGAGAAAACATCTACATGTGGCTTATGATTCTAGCAATCCTCTTTCAAGGTTTAAGAGAGTCATGTTTCCATTACACCTTCTTCTCCAGCCCCTGCCAGGGAGGCCCTGAATACTGAAGTAGGCATCTACAACTCTTTATTGATTCAGAAATCTAGACATCAAGGCCAAGGCTGCTGAGGAACCACGAGCACAGGCTTGTGCCAAGAAGATAATGAAGTACTCTGTTTCCAGACAGGCCTCGGGGCCCTGCAACAGTAAGAAGCCAGGACCAGAACAGAAGGGAACAGAACCTCTGTGGCTTTCTTGTGAGTACATCCCACAATGCCCTTGTGAGTCAATGCTGTGGTTTTATTTTAAGCCCAAAGAACTGTCACCTTATAGGAAAGGGTGGCAGTCTATCAATTGCACAATATTGTGAAGGATATGCTGAAAAAGACACAGGGTTAAAAGTCTGGGAACGATATTGTGCTGCTGTTATCTCTGCCTCGGGCGAGTCAGGTCCCTTCTGGGCTGAAACTGAAGGGTATAGACTAAATAATCTCAAAGTCTCCTTTCCAGCTTTAACATGATGTTCCATGTGATAAAACCAGTAACGATCTCGTAAATCCCAAATGAAGCCTATCTTTTGATAGTTGAGATTTATTTGATTTTATTTTTTTACCATTCTATGAAACCAAAGAAGTTTGGACTTCTTGGTTATTTTAGGTTTTCTTTTGTTGTTGTTTGTTTTTTAAGCAGGGACTGGCTTATGTATAGCCCAAGCTGGGTAGGAACTTGAAATTCTCACGCCTCTGTCTCCCCAGTGCTGGGACTGTGGGCACATCTGCAACATTCAAAAAGTAGTTTTGAGTTATTACCTTAAATCGCTCTTCATCTGTGGAGTCCTCCTCACTGGAGCACCTCTGGGCCAATTCTATTAAATTAATTCAGATTCTATTTTGCAAGCAATTCATTTCACCCTACATGGTGAGCTGTCTCTCTCCAGTTGGTCTTTCATGCAGAGAAGGAACACTGTTATCTCCTTCTTGTTGGTAAGTCAAGAGCTACCGTATCTTACTGGTAATAATGGCAAACCATGTGAATTTTTGTTTATTTGGTGTTTGGGGGTTGGTTTTTTTTGGTTTATTTTTGTTTGTTAGTTTTCAGACAGAGTCTTGATATACAGCTCAGGCTAGAATGGAACTGTTGATCCGTCTGCCTTAACCTTCTAAGTGCTGGGATTATAGATCTGTGCCACCACATCTGGCTAAATTAAATATGTAAGTTTTGAATCATATACAAAGAACTTCATTCTAAGAGCGCAGCTTCATAGAACAGAATATACCCCAACTATAATATACTTCCTTACACCACACAGTCTTAACATTCTTTTGTAATTTTCAAACTATTTCCACATATATTATCTTAGTTACCTATCTGAGGAATCAGGTATTAGAACTCTCATTTTAACAATGAAGCCACTGAGGGTCCATGAGCTACAATGACCTGTTATACAGCAGAACTGGACCCAAAGTTTACATGCTGACTCCATGTCCAGAGCATTTCTGCGAGGAAACCTCAGCTCTCTCTTCTCTTATAATGAGTATTTTCCAACTGGGAAGCAGCTCTTGAGATTTTTGAGGCCTAAGACTTGGGGAGCCAAGGAGATACTGCTTTTAATTACTTGATCAAAGGCTTGTTTTTCTTAGAGGCCTAAGGGGCTGAGGAGAGGAATCTTCAAATTCTATCCAACCCCAAGAAAATATCCTGGTTTGTGGGATAGCATTAATACAAAGGCAAGAACATGTCTACTCTTCAGAGGTTTGAGAGTCCCTAGTAGACTAAATCAACTACTTGGGCCTGCCATCCACAGTACCTTAAGTGGCTCTTTTTCCACGATACAATGTGAAAGACTGTGGAGACGATGAAGAGGGCGCAGAGGCCCATTCCATAAATCCATGCCGTTATCTTCTCCCAGCAGTCATCAGACAGCCGATGCAGAAGGGCACTGCCCACAATGGCTGGAACGATGAGGAACTAAGGGAAAGGTAGGCAGAAAGTAAACATTCTCACTTTTAGAGGACCGGAAACGAATTTAGAAAATGATTTGAAAAGAGATGCTTCCCTCTGTCATGAGAGCCTGATGAAGTTGCTACTTGCTGTGCTGAGGGAGGTACTGACATCTCAGCCCAGAGGCTATGCCAGGCAGTGGGAACACAAATAGACCAAAATGCAACAGTACGCAACCGTTGCAAAACAGATGTTCTTTATCCTAATTTCACTAAACAAGGACATACTTCTTTCTAATCTGTACACACAGACTTCTCAAGGAGGCACTGATTTTCAAATATTCAGTCTTGTAGCTTCCATGCTACTGAAATCTCAATACTTCAGTAAAGGCCAGTTGAATAAATCAAGTCTGTAAGTATTACCATGTATAAAACACATTCCAAATCAATTGCTGAAGTCATTTGTTTTGATTTTTTTAACTTTGGATCTGTTCTTTTTATGTTTGAAAGCTACTGCAGAATGAGAGTTTTTAAATTATTGTTGTTACGTAATTTTTAGTCGTACCTTTAAAATAGCAAAGAGTACTCCCCAACCTTACCTACTTAAAACAATTAAAGATACCAGAATCTTATTCATGTGATTGCTTTTGTTTTTTGGTGGTACCAGGGTTTGAACTTACTAGGCAGATGCTCTATCACTTGAGCCACACTCTCAGCCCCAAAATCTTTGAATTTTTATTATTATGCCATATTTCATACCAAATACAGATACATATTTCCATATCAGATGCCAAAGTTTACACTGACCCAGAGCAATATGAGAATAAGGACAATAATGCACGTTTTTCATAAAAGAAAATGTACTTGATTTTAAAGAAATGTCCTCTATTTTGATCTTTTATTCTTTCTATGGTTTTTTAAAGTAGCCTCTCCTTAATGAACAGATACCAGGACAAGTTTGCATTCTCTTTCACAAATTTCACTGCTCTCTACAATCCCAAAATCTGGGCTAGCATTTAATAAAATTAGCTTTTCCCTTCTAAAACATTAACAAGAACAGTCAGACAGCTTTTTTATTGGTTTCAGCTTATATATTGTTCCTTATCTTGTACAAGGTTCACTAGAGGAGTAACAAGGTTCTTGAATGTGAGCTGCATCTCCAAAGACAGAGTATCTGATTGTATTTGATTGTCCCAAAACTGCCCACAGCAACTAAACTAGCATCTCTAAATACTTATCTCTCAAGGACTAAATTGACAGGGGACAGTGAACACTGTCTCCTCAAAGTTCTCACAGAATGCAACTTCCAAAGGGAGTAATAACAAAACCAAAGACAAAGCAAAATCTATGATGCAAGAACATACCAACACAATATTTACAGGAAAATGAATACTTGCACGTTCACAAATACCATGCATGCAAAAGGAAGAACTACACCAAAGTATCAACTGTTTATTTCCTTTATACCTTTTTCAGTAATTATTTTTCTTTTGGAGAATGTTTTGTTTTTGTAAGGAAGAGATATATTTATTTTTATTTTTTTGGTCGGTCATGGGGCTTGAACTCTGGGCCTGGGCACTGTCCCTCAGCTCTTCAGCTCAAGGCAAGTGCTCTACCACTTGAGCTACAGCATCACTTCCGGTTTTCTAGTGATTTATTGGAGATAGGAGTCTCACGGTCTTTCCTGCCTAGGCTGGCTTTGAACCACGATCCTCAGATCTCAGCCTCCTGAGCAGCTAGGATTATAGGCATGAGCCACCGGTTTTCTAGTGATTTATTGGAGATAGGAGTCTCACGGTCTTTCCTGCGTGGGCTGGCTTTGAACCACGATCCTCAGATCTCAGCCTCCTGAGCAGCTAGGATTATAGCCATGAGCCACCGGCGCCTGGCTAGGAAGAGATACATTACACAAAAGCTCAGAGGTCACACCAGCTTCTTTTTCAGCAGTATAGAATACTATCTGCTCTGACAAACCATGTCTGCTGTGGGCGAGGAGGGAAGGGAGGATGTGAAGCCTCAATTCTGGGGGGATCATTGGCTTAATAAGAGACACTTTTTCAAACATTTTGAACTGTCCTTGCCTAATAAACACAGGAGATTATTTTGACAACCATCATTTGTTTCTTTCCAGTGGAAAGAAGTCTTCATAAACAAATTTCTTTGGTTGTCTTCTGACTAAGGTACTTAGTTAATATTCTTCTTTTTAAAGACTGTTAGGAAAAGCAAATGAAGGACAGAGCAGATGTTAGGTTCCAACACACAAAGCAATCAGCCTGCTCCAGTTTCTGGTGGTAGGGCTTAGCACAAACAGCTAAGGCCATAGAGATAGGTATATCTAACTACTTGGGCTGAGCTTGTAGAAATAATCACTCCTTACCCTCAAATGAAAGCCCTGTTGGGAAAGATGGCAACAACAGAAAACACGTACTTACTGCATGTGTATAACAGTTAGCAGCATGTTCATAACAAGTTGGTTTGTAGCGGCCATTGGCTGGGGCCGGATGGTTCATGAAACTGTAGAAACAAAAGGCCATCTTTGTGAGCAAAGCCAAAACCATGTACATCTATCTATCCTAAAGGAAGACATTAGTGCAGGTGAAAACACTTTGATGGGAAGTAAACCAAAGCCATTGAAAAGGTGTCCGTTTTTTCCTCTGAGAAAGTACAAAGGTTGATACAGGTAGATCTTTAAAACCTTATATCCTAGGATGAAAAATCCTGTCCTGCTAGTTTCCTTATATCGTATGGCCTGTTTGGGCAACAGGTAGCTTAAGTAATACTTGGCTAACTGTAGGCGACCTAAATAAGGGAGGTACATCTTCATTTTTCATCTTCATTCTTCCTGAATAAAAAGAATTAGCTTCCAAACCCAAACTCATGGCTAGCACTTGAATATTCTGGCTGTAAAATCCATCTATACATAAAAATAATAAGACTTTGTGCATAAACATAGACATGTTAGACATTCAGATACATGCCCATATTCCATTCTTCCTTTGGGTCCAACTTTTTATCACCATTAGCAGCAGACTAAAAACACAGGTTCTGCAGGACAAAACAGATGACTGAGCTCTTCTACTACAGTATGACTAGGAGGTTGCCCTCCCCCAATGCAAGCCAAACCCACATCATGGTTGCAATGAGGCAATCTGGATTGTTCTAAGATCTCTCAGGAGGGGAAATCAAACAGCTGTCTGAGTAAAGGAGCAAAGAAATAGATACAGAAAAACTAACTGGAGAAGACAGCCCTGACAGCATTTGGTTCTCAGAGGCTCATCCTGTATAATACATTATCCTTCTGCTCAAGCTAATTTGGTAGGTAGGATGGGACTCTTTTTTTTTCAATTTTGGACATGAAAGAGTTCTAACTGGTCACACATTATTCACACATATGATGAAAAAAAATGGTAGAAGGAAGGCCAAATGGCAGAGCCAAGTTGCCAAAGAAAGGAGAAGGAGGACCCTAAAATGAAATGATCATGCCATTCTAAACAGTGTCCACTTTTTGAACAAAAGACTACCCAATGTTTTCTCCCCTCTTAAGAGTGTGATGTCCTTAGGTTGAATAAACAGAAATGCAATGGCAGTGGCTGGTAACTCCACATACATAGTTCAGGATGAATTGGGGGAGAGTGAAGGTATCATTTGGCCCACCCTTGGGTTAGATATTTAACAAGTGTGTAAAACATGTACTTAACAAGATGGCTTAATATCTATCCAGAGAAATACACAGCTAGCAGGCCCAGGATTTGTCCAAATTACTCTACTACATAAATTATCTCAAACATCTTTCTTCCCTCCCTTGACAATCCTTTAAATTATTCCGCTAATTTCCTAAGGGACAAGGCTATTGCTATACCACTCTTATTAGTGAAAAGAAAACTAATTACTCTCTTGAGAAGAGTGTTTTCAGTGTGTCCCAATGTCACACCATCACCCGAAATATAAAAGCATAACTCCTAGTATCACACACTCGTAGGAATTTCAAAGGGCAGAGAGTGAGGTTCCCACATGGATGAGGTTAGATGAAATTGTGAGAGTTCTGTGTAGGGCACAGTAAGTAGATTTTTTCTATCCACTACCAGGCTGCAGACTAAAATAGCAATTTATATCTCTGGCAACCCATTCTAAAAATAGACCATTACAAGGCAACAGGGATGGACGTTCACGGTTTCTCCTGCAAGCAAAGAAGCTGGGCGGCCATGTTTGTGGCAGTGTAGTCCCCTGCCCATTAAAAATAATCCCCATTTAAAATGAAATGAGAATTTGTAGGGGGAAATGCTCCTTCTCTAGTGACCTGAGCAGTCTCTTCTGAAAGAAAAGGCAGGATTTCAGGCAATAAGCAATGGTAAGAGCAACTATGCTCAGAGGATTTGACTGTTTGGGGCATAGTAGGATAGACAGCACAGTGGTTCTACAGGGAAATGATAATACAATAATTGGTTTTTTTTCTATTTTCTCTCTCAGCCTGCTAGGGCGCAATCAAGCCTCCTCTGCAGCTTTTCAAATCATCCCTAAGATCTAAATGGAAAAGTAGATATAAAATGCAAATACACTCCCACATGCTGAGCCTAGTCTCTTCCCTGAAAAAGAACAAGAGAATTTCAAGTGTTACCAAAGATGGTAAGATACGCCCTAAGAGAAGGCATCGCTGTTTAATACAAGTAACCTAATGATTACGCCTGAGCAGAGTAGCCAGCAGACTTTAGAGGGCCCTGGGGAAGGTGATTTGGTCGTCAGAATGGGAATCACATTTTTTAAATATATTAGCTAGGCAGGTTTGTTCATTCATTACCTCACTTTCTGTTAGCGTTCTCTCCTGCCTCCCTTTGGCCCAGCGCTCTTACATGCCAATCTCTAGTAACAGAATTCCAAAACTACAGTGAGAATTCATAGTCAGCAAGCAACAAAGGGGACAATCTTTTCACATCCCAAAGAACAGGCCTATGAAAAGTAAGTCCCCAACCTACCAGCAGACCTCTGAGGGCCAAGATCAAATCACCACTGGTTGTCTTTTGAGTCCTTTGTGTTGGTCATTCTCCAAGTGCTAGTAGTGTCAACACACCTTGAGCATACATTCTAAATCAGCCCACCTCCACAACGCCATAGCTCCAACCTTACATCTAGATACCAACAGCTCAAGTCTAAAAATACAGCATCTGCACTAACCTTGCTGCTTCTCTCCCCAGACCCCCTTCTTTACATGGAAGCCATGAAAACCACATAGCACACACCCTTATTCCCATTTAGAGATTGGCTCCCCAAAGCACTTAGGTCACGCTAGGAGAGGTCCCTAAGTCCAGTGTGGTTTGGCTCACACTCCTCTTCCAGTGTCAGGGTACCATCTTCCCGTCATCCCATCCTCTAGGTATACCACCTCATTTCTACCCCTTCATTCCACCACAGGCTTGTCTGCCTGAGGTTATTTCTGTTTGTTTTTGCCTAGTACGTGCTTCTCTAGCATGTGCTAGGCATAAATGTACTAGGCTCTGGGCATGAAATGTCACCTGCTCAGAGACAATTTCCAGACCGTCCTATCCAACTTGTCACATCAGATCTTCCCAGCCAAGCAGAGCCCTATAATCACTAGTAGGAATTTGATCTTTTAGGTTTCTTTTTTATTCCATCTTACTCCACTGTCTTTTTCAACACCACATTTCCAATTCTAAGCACCATGCCCATCTTATAGTCAAAGCTTGGTTGAGTGAATACATAAAAAGATACATTTCAGCTACTGTACTGTATCATATCAGAGAGACTGCCTAGTCAACTTGGCTTTACTAGAGATTCAGCAGGTTATTTATGTAAGAAAACTCAAGGGCCAAGACAATCACTATTTTAAGGGGTGCTGTGGCACCGTAAGATGACCTTGTTAAAGGTACCATGTCATCAACTCTTCCTTTAAAATATATTTGTTCAGAGAGTGTCTAACGTCAATAGTAGTAACTTGACTTAATTACTAAATGAGGAAGGAAGGTAACCAGCCCCTGTCCTGAGTCAGTTCTTCAAGAACACACAAAAAGACAGCAAGCAGCCCTAGAAGGCATCCTAAGGCTGTGGAGGAAGATGCTTTCCCCATGCAGTCAAATTTGAAGCTAGTCAGTAGTCACTACACAGAAGACAAGGAAAAGAGAATCTCTTTCTGTGAACACAAATGTGGCATGGGAGGGAGACAGAAATGGTGAGCTAGTAGCAGCGGTGGTGGAGACCCTAAGAGTGAACTCTTTGGCCTACCCTTTCCTTAGCTATGCAGCTTTGAGAAAGTACCCAGTTATTCTCTAAACTTATTCATTCTTTTCTATTCGAGAGGTGTAAAACTGGGTTACAGTTGAAAAAGAGGGATATACAAGTATTAGCCAGTGTCTGGCACAAACAGGCATTCAGTAACTTAGCACTTACTGTCATCAGTCAGATGGTACGAAGGGAGAAAAAAGTGTCTGTTGGTCTGCCAGACAGAAACGTGCTCTTTGAACTTTTCACATCCTAAGCCTTTTAGAAGCCATGATTGCACAAAGCCTTCTACTGATACCAGCAGACTGCTTGGCCTTCCTACCTAGAAATGGCAGGACGTCAAAAGCTGACCGAAAGCCAAAATAACCGTCAAGTTTCCACTAGAAACAAACCTGCAAAGGTGTTCTCGTGATTTATAACCAGCTACAAATGATGGCCTAATGAAATGATTGTACTGCAATCAAATAATACTCAACTGAGTCCTGATAAATCTACTAGGAAAGAGAAGGCATCAGTCTACATACAGTAGGTCCCTCTGTAATTTATCTACCTTTACCTACTATCTGGAGAGCACCCAGAAAGATATATTGTGGACACACCTTTAAAAGATATAGAATAAGCCGGGTGCTGGTGGTTCATGTCTGCAATCCTAGCTACTCAGGGAACTGAGATCTGTGGATTACGGTTCAAAGCCAGACGGGGCACAAAAGTCCGTGAGACTCTTATCTGCAATAAACCACTCAGAAAACTGGAAGTGGTGCTGTGGCTCAAGTGGTAGAGTGCTAGACTTGAGCTGAAGAGCTGAGGGACAGTGCGCAGGCCCAGAGTTCAAGCCCCACAACTGAGGGGAAAAAAAGATATAGAATAAGATGTTTAACATTTTAATGTGTCAACTGTCAAAACAGGACTCTCTTGCTCTATTTTTAAGTCTTTCCCCCGAAGTTCATATTGATGTTTAGAAATAGTTTTCCAATTTAGCCTATGGTAGAAATGAGAACTTATGGAATCCTTTGCAACTTCAGACATATCAGAGTCAAGATGTTAGCAAGAAGGGAACTGTTAAATAGCCACAGAGTGTAACGATGTACAGCTACTACACTAAAAGAAAATGTGTGTATTTTTCATGTTTAAATGGATAAAATACTGTCCAAAATTGACTGGGTTCAGTAACTCGCACCTTTAATACTAGCTGTTCAGCAGGCGGAGAGCTGAGGATGGAGGTTCAAAGTTAGCCTGGGCAAGAGAATTATGAGGCTCTTTGTAACTACCAGAAGGCCAGAAATGGAGCTGTGGCTCAAGTGGTAGAATGCTTGTCTTGAGCAGAAAAGCTCAGGGACAGTGCTTAGGCCCTAAGTTCAAGCCCTAACAGCAGTACACACATACAAAAAAAAAGTCCAAAATTTCACTATGACAGTGCTAGTAAAGACTAGAGATTAGGGGCTGGGAAGGTGGCTCAGTGGTAGAGCGCTTGCCTTGCATGCTCGAGGCCCTGGGTTCGATTCCTCAGCACCACATAAGAAAAAAAAAAGCCGGAAGTGGCGCTGTGGCTCAAGTGGTAGAGCGCTAGCCTTGAGCTGAAGAGCTGAGGGACAGCGCCCAGGCCCAGAGTTCAGGCCCCATGACCGGACCCAAAAAAAAAAAAAAAAAAGACTAGAGATTACAGAGGTGATAAATGAGGTTAAATACTGTCAAAATAGATTATAAAAACAAAACAAAGAAACCTGTGGGGGATGCTATTATTTTAGAGGTAAAGATAAGTAAGATAGAGGCTGCAAAATTGATTGGAATATATAGTATAACCATGTGTGAAGATGTAACAATGAAACCCCTTCTCTATAACTATAAAACAAATCAATAAATAAAAATAAAAAGAATCAGAGATTACTGTCCAGTCAAAAGATAAACCAGCTGAAATGGTAGGATCCTAACTGAAGGTTGGGTTGTTTTGGGTTTTTGTTTTGTTCCTCTAATGTTAGCACTGTTTTAATATGAGTACAACCCCAAATAAAACAGCCCTTTCTTCTTCTTTTTAAGAAATACAAAATAATGGAGGAGACAAATGTTCAATCAAATAGGGGAGGGTACAATTTCACGAAATACGGACACTGTGCTCTGAAAACAGGAAGCGCACAGATGTTCAGACAAGTAAAACCAAATCAAACCACATGGCATCGGACTCCCCCCCCTCCCCCCCCCCCCCCCCGCCCCACACTCCCATTCATACTGCCCCACACCCCCATTCATACCAAAACAAATGCTTCATTTTCCTTTAAACCCCACCTGTCTTAGTTACTAGAGACCTCAGGTTCCAGAGCCTGGCACCCTGGCTCTCCTTTGCCCTTAGAAGCGTTGCATGTAGAGTTGCCACTGGGGGGGAGGGGGGGGGGGAACAAGCCAAGAAACAACACTAAATAATGAGCAAAATCCAGAAGTCAATCCAAGCCCACAAGGGGATCCCTCCCCTCTCCCCCCTCGGAGGAGAGAGAGAGAGAGAGAGAATCTCACAAATTTCTAAAACAAAAAGCAATGCCTCAATAATAATAATAACCTCCCGGGACCAGGTCGTGCTTTTTCTTCTCTCCGATGGATGGCCCTCGCTCTAAGCTAGACCGCTGGTGGTGAAGGTGTGTGTGCCTACATCAGACAAAGGGATGGACTTGTTACCACCAAGACTGGAAAGATGAACTTTCACCCACTTCAATGAAACTGAAAAGCTCGCAGCTTCCTCTGGGAACCACCGGCCGGCCGGCAGCCGCCAACACCGGGGAGAGGGGCAGGGTCCCCCCGTGGCCCCTCCGGCCTGGCCTTCCCGGCCGCCCTCGGCCGCTGCCCGGCCTGCCGGCGATCCCTCCACCGCAGTCCTTCCTGACCCGGGTCTCTTCACCCCAAGGCGCACGTGTCCCCTCCCCAGACCCCCAGACAGCACCGCCCCGGGGCGTCTCCTGAAGCCCGGCGAGGCCCTGACCCCACGTCAGGCACAAGCTGCAAACCTGAGCGGGGACGGGGGTGGGGTGGGGTGGGAGGGGTGTGCCTCAGTTTCCCTGCGGCTAAAACGTCCGTGTCAGCCCCTCCTCCGTCTCACAGCAGCGAGTGGATATTCCGATCGCCCCAGGAGACCCCCCCCTCTCCCCCCCTTCCCAGCCCCGGGGCGGAGGTACAAGGATGAAAGAGGCCCGGGTGGCCTCTTGGGGTGGCCGGAGCCCCGCTCGGCTGGGGATCGGGAGGCCAGCGCCCGGGGGAGGAAGGGGCTGCGGGGCGGGGCGGGCTCCAGGTTCGGGCGCGCGAACCGCGGGGGTGCACCTGGGCCAGGCGCGAAGTCCCCCCCGGAGGACGGGGAGCGCCCCAGGAAAACGGGTCCGGGCGCGGGCGCGGGATCCCCCGGGGCACGGCCCCAGGGGACGAGCCGGGGCCACGCACGGAGCGGGGGGTGGGGGGACGCGGGGGCAGGGCGCGCGCGCCGCCCGGCTCACCGCTGGAAGCGGTGCTGGAACCGCATTGATCCTCCGCTCCTCCGCGGGGGCCGGGAGCTCCGTCTCGTCGGTGCCGGCGGCGGGGCGCGCGGCCCTCATGAGCAAGAGCTGCTCGGGAGGCCAAAGCGTGCCCGGCGGGGGCAAAGCCAGACAGGACCACGCCGAGGGTGGGATCCGGGCAGGGGTAAGGGCACACCCGGCGGCTGGGGGCGGGAGGGAGGCCGCTTAAACGGCCCGGGTACCTCCCGCCTCCCCGGCTCCTCCGCCCCCGGGTGCCCGTGCCCCGCCCCGGAGCCCGGCTCCACCCCCCCACCCGCTGGCTCCGCCCACCTGCGTGAGTTCTCAGCCGCCTGCGCGTCATCACCCCGGGGAGCCAATCAGCGCTTACAGCGGCGCGGCGCCTGAGCTGCCATTCATCCGCGGACCTGAACGGCGGGGTGGGGCCTCGAGGTGAAGGGGGCGGGGCGATGGAAAAGGGAGGGGCGCTGGAAGGGCGGTGCTCTTCAATACAGCTTTGAGGTGAAGCCAGATTAGAGGTGGGCCGGGAAAAGGAGAGGAATCTCAAGGACGTGTGCCAAGACTTAAGCAACTGTGAAGGAAACAGCAAGCAAATAAGGATGTCGGTGTGCGTTTAAACCTTAATCCCTGTATCATTCCTTCAGCATTTAGGCTACAGTGATGCGCCAGGACAGATTTGAAATCTTGAGGGCATAATCCGAGATCTGAGGAACACCTCAAAAGGTGGTTTTCCTTCTTTTTCTGTTTCTAGTTGAAGCAGCTTTCAAATAAATTAAAAAGACTTGGATCTGCCTCTTTTGGGTAAACCTTTTTAACTCAGAGGGCTTGTCAGGGTAGAGATACAAATGAATAAAGGAAAATTAATTGAAAGACTGGTTTACTGATTCTTCCTCGGGGTATCCCATCCACACCCATCCCCCATTCCTCAAAACTTGAGGTTCTCCAGGGCACCAGTCTCCATGCGTGTTTACTTTGCTTGCACTGAAGCCTTGGGAAGCTGGGGGATTTTTTTTTTCCACTCATAGTTCTAGTTTCCTCTTCCAAGCGCCAGGATCTAGAAAGGTATATTTCACAATGATAGCTTTAATCTTGCCAAGGACTGAGGCTCTGTGTTATTCATTTTACAAATAAGGAAACTGAGCCATTTAGAGGTGACACTATCTACAACAGCCAAGTTATAGAATCAGCCTATTCTTGTATTCACAGATAAATAAAATGTAGTCTATATAGAAGAGAGTCGTAAGCAGCTGTGAAGTAGAATGGGAGGGTGACAGCTGTCACTCCATTGATGACCAGCGTTGATTTCTCTGGCCAAGCAGGTGTCCCCTCCCTCCCTCACTGCTTACATTCTATATAGGACTTTCCTTCCACATGCTCTGTCTGAGAGAATGACCTTCCTTAATTGAGAAAGACCATTCCTGGGGTCAATGACATTTGCTAGAACCCCCAACTAAGCTCTCAAAAAGAAGAGTCATGCTTGTAGGAAAAAGGAAGGGAAGGGGAGGGGAGGAAGGTAGGAAGGAGAGAAGGGGAAGAAGGAGAGGGGAGGAAAAAGGAGGGAAGGGAAGAGAAAGGGAAAAGGAAGGAAAAGATCAGTGCATGCTACATCATGGATGAACCTTAAACACAAGGTGAAAAAAACCAGTTACAAAGAACCACAAAATAACAGGCCAACAATCTGCTCAGACAGAAAGTACACTTAGTGTTTGCCTAGGGCCAAGTAGTGGGAAAGCATTGAAAAAAATTATGTCTAAGAGACACAAAGTTTCTTTAGGGGGCCAGTGCAAATGTCCTAAAATTACAATTCTGTGAATAAAATACTGAAATACACACTTAAAATGCATGAATTGTGTGGCTTATGAACTATACCTTATATGTTAAAAATGATTTTGAAACCCATTATTTTTCTACTAAAAAAAAAAAAAGACCCCAAATGAAATAGATTGAAATAGCTGGAGTGCAGATAGATTATCCCTACTCAGGTTCACATTCTTACCATTTTTTATTTGTTTTGCAAGTTTGGGAGAAAAATTTTTATCAGAAGGTAACACATAATATGTGTTGAATACAGACTTTTTACATGGATTTAATTTTTAAATAATTAAAAATATCAAACACAATAAATCAACAGATATCCAGTAAACCTTCCATCAGTGACTTAGGAATATGCAAAAATAAAAACATCCGAGCATGGTAGAGCTAATTAGGGATATGGTATCAGAGAGAAAGACATCTAGAGATGGATTTTGAATAAAATATCCAACATGACTTAACAGGCCCTTTCACAAAGGGAAAATGGCTTACACAAACATGAGAAATGATCTGACCAAGAAAAACTTATAAGCTAGGTAAGTTTAGAAACACTGATGTGAATGATACTCACTCAAGGCAAAAAAAAAAAAAAGTCAGGTATAGGATCTCAAGCCTGTAATCTAGCTACTTAGAGGCTGAGATCTGGAGAATTGTAGTTCAAAGCCAGTCTGGGCAGAAAAATCTGCAAGACTCCATCTCTAAAATAGCCAGCAAAAAGCAGAGCTGGTGGCATGGCTCAAGTGGTAGAACACCAACAAATTTGAGGTCCTAAATTCAAATCCCACGCTGTTTGTTTGTTTTGTTTTTTAGAGTAAGGTAGACATTTAGATGAAAAAGGATAGAACACAGCACTTTGACTTTCAGTGGACTGTTTTGTAGAACAATGGGATACTAAATGAAAGTGGATTCTTTAAACAAATAAGATCACAATCAAAAATAGCTTCAACATTCATGAAGCCCACCTTCAGGGCAAAGTCTTTGTAGTTAAGCATCCCTCTGCATCTATTTCAGAGAAGGAATCCTAAGCATGTCCACAGAGAAGAGGAACTAGATTCAATCTACAGATTATAGTGATGGGAGTAGAAAAGAATGGAAAGGGCTTTTTTTTTTTTTTTTTTTTTTGTATGTATGCTCACAGGATATAACACACCTTTCTTGAGCTCAGTGGTACATTCTCCTTCTGCAGAACTAACTGCAAGCACATTTGCATGAACAAGCCTGTGGCTTACATGAAGGGATTTCTGATGGAGCAGATGCCAGGTGCTGTGGAAACTCTGAGGAGAGCACCTGCCTCTTCTCAGGGAGGGACACAGAGTCCCTGCATAGGATGCTGACCATGCCAGAACACAATCCCCTCCTCCCTCCCCTTCCCACAGCGACCTACCAATCAGAAAGGAGTAGATTTGCTTCACTCTGGTTCCAGAAGCCCAGAGAAGGTTAACTGAACTTACTGATCTCGGAAGTGTTACAGGCTCTTAATTTATGCCTACAAATGTCAGGGGAAAACATCAAATAGAGATGTCCCCAGCTGTGAAAGAGGCTATGATTAGGAGCTAGCCTGGGACTTAAAAAAAAAAAAAGTTCACAGTAAGCCATCTCAATAGAACAAAGGTGTGGGGGGCAGAGCTACTACATAGCTACAGTGGGAAGCATAATTAAGAAGATTAGGGTGCTGGCTGGCCTTGACAGAAAGAGACCCTAACTCACAAAAGGTTGAACTCTATCAGAGCAAAGAAAACGGTTGGAGTTCTGGTTCAAGTGATAGGTTTACCTTCCCAGCAATTACAAGGCCCTGAGTTCAAACCTCAGTATAAGCCAAAAAAAAAGTCTTCCCTATGCAATATCGATTGTGAACTCATGATTTATCTGAAGTTTAAATTTAAGTTAGCATCCTATATCCGATGGTTATCCTACTCCAGAGTCCTTGCTACTTCCCAACCTAGTAGCAGCAACTTCAACTATCTCATCATTCCCTTGAGTGGAGTTGTGGTGGTGTCTTTATGAGTTACCAGATGGGAAGACTACGTGGTTAGTGAGTTTTGCCATTTTGATAGGACCTGAAACCTTTGAGAAGCTGGAGACGACTCGAGTAAATAATAATAGACATGGTTCATTTACAAAGAAATATACTAGAAAATTCAGTGGAATGTAAAAACCTTCACATCTTGCCAACTAAACTGTATCAAGGAACCCTTCTGTTGGTTGGATTCAATTACCTTTCTGGCTCAACTCTTTGTGACTATGTATGTTTCTTCATTCAACTAATTCAGATCCCCCTGGGCAAGGGTCATTACCATTTCTGCTGAGTAGGAGACAGAAGAGGCTGGTAGGTTAGGTCCAAGATAGAGAAGGTAGGCCAAGGGGCTGGGAAGGTGGCTCAGTGGTAGAGTGCTTGCCTTGCATTCATGAGGCCCTGGGTTCGATTCCTCAGCACCACATAAGCAAAAAGAAAAAAGCCAGAAGTGGCGCTGTGGCTCAAGTGGTAGAGTGCTAGCCTTGAGCTGAAGAGCTGAGGGACAGTGCCCAGGCCCAGAGTTCAGGCCCCACGACCGGACCCAAAAAAAAAAAAAAAAAAAGAACACTAAAAAAAAAAAAAGAGAAGGTAGGCCAAGGAGAGAAAGACTCAAGACCAAGACAACAGAGGGCCAACCCCAGAGAGTGTTTTTTGTTTGTTTGTTTAGTTTTTTTTTAACTGATGAGTAACCAGAGCTGTGGAAAAAATAGATCTGTCTCGCTGATTAAAACTGGTGCTTTCAGAGTCGACTCATTAACGAGGAATCTGACGACTTTTTGGCATTACCTGTGACTTTGTAAATAGAGATAGGACTGAAGGAAAATCATGAAGGATGGACAACATTGTCTTTTACTTTGTAGATTGACCCTGCACCACCAATCACAAGGGTGTACACAGAAGCCCTAAACAAAGCTCTATGCATAAGGCCCTCCACATTTGCATAGCTTTTTAATACACTCAGCCTTAGATGACCTGCAGCTACACTCCTCCCTGGTGGTAGAGAAAAATGTTTCCTTATTAACCATCCCCTCCCCCAGCAGCAGCCATTTTATAAATGGGGCTGCTGAGGTTCAGACATTTAATTACGGAGCAATTGGGGAGCCTAAACTTCAAAGACCAAGTATGAGTAAGGACTCCTTCACAGACTGCGATGGTCCGCCGGGTCAGAGCTGGCCTGAGCTGAGGACCACACATTGCTGGTGACTTTGGAGTCTACATGAGTGCATTTAGACTTCTTTTCCTTGCAGAGAAGCCCTAGGATCGTGATCATGCAGAAGTCATAAGCAGTAGCATTTCTCAAACCCTGGGCCTTTCTAGCTGATGGGAAATGGGAGTTGTTGGGTGCTTTTCTGGGACTGCTTAATCTTTCATTTATCTCTCTCCCTTTGCCTCCTGTGGTAGTTGTTTTCTTCTCTG